CGAGTCTCGACTCTGCTTTGCTTTATCCACTGAGAATTTTGAATTTCACATCTCCGAAGTTTTCTCTTTTCGAAGGAAAATCAGGAAAAGCGTAAAACCCCGATCAGAAAAATCCGGGAAAGTATCTCTGCCGTTGATTTGTGACGAGGGTTTTTCCGATTTCAGTTTGATCTGTGTACGGAAATCTCTCTCTTTTGCTTTCTCATTGCGTATACGATTTCTCTTCCGTCTTCAAGGTACAATATTGCTGATTGCGTTTGATTCACTCTTAGATTTCGTTTCCCAAATTGGGTTTAACTTCGTTTCTGCAATTTTGATCCTTTTATTCACTGCTTCGATTCAACAATCCCATCGATTCCTAGACTACAGTTGCTGTAATCTAATGCTTTTGATTCGTGAAATTGGACTCGGATTTAGGGGTTTTTCTCCTGTTGATCTTGCTCTGCTTTAAGCTTCAATACCGGAGGAATCAGGAGGCAATTCGTACTTTTCCAGATCTTACTTAGCTCTTGTACAGGTTTTTACTCGTAGCCCTTTTGAATTTGCCTTGTTTAGAGTTTGACGAGTTTCTTCATTAAGTACTTAACCTTTTGCTTCCATTCGATTTGCAGAATGGCGGATTTGTTACCCATTTACCTCATTATCTTGGCTTTTCTATGCACTGTGGGGGCCATTGCTTTGGCCTTATTCCATATCTACAAGCACCTATTGAATTATACAGAACCCATTTATCAGAGATATATTGTGCGCATTGTCTTCATGGTCCCGGTCAGTATTAGCAGTTCCAAGAGCTTTCTTTAGTTGGTCTATTTCTGATCTGTGAACTCCATTTCACGTTGAATTATCTCCGGCTAACATGTTTTGGCACGACAGGTCTATGCCTTGATGTCATTCTTGGCTCTCGTGTTGCCCAAAAGCTCGATATATTTTAACTCTATCCGGGAAGTGTGAGTGTTTCTAAATTTTTCATTTTTGCCTAATTTAGTATGTGGTGTGCTTACTCGAGTTACTATACTAAGTTCTTATTGACTCTTGAGAATGGATAACGAACCTTTGGAACTCAGTTTTATATTTTGGTTTCAACAATTCAGACTCTTTATGTTACTAAGGCTTTGTAATCTTTTTTTTTTAATGTTACAGTTACGAAGCGTGGGTAATTTATAATTTTCTATCGCTGTGTTTGGCATGGGTTGGAGGCCCAGGTTCAGTAGTTATAAGTTTAACTGGCCGCTCTCTGAAGCCATCATGGCATCTCATGACATGTTGCTTCCCACCGCTACCATTAGACGGGTTAGTTTGCAAAATGAACCTACATTTTCTGTATAGTGGTGGCATTTGCAAGTTTCTTCGATTTCTCCTAAGATTTTTTACTTAACTTCCATGCTGAGGATCTTTATGGATGAGTGTCTGTCAATGATTTGGTTAAGGGAACTTTGTGGTTTATCAGAAGCATTAGATTAGTCCACATATATTATCATGGTTATGATTTATGTTTGAATCTTGTTTCTGAGTTCTGTGACTGTCTTAGCTCATACCCGATTATCTTTTGATGAAGGCGTTTTATTCGGCGGTGCAAGCAAGGTTGCCTGCAATTTGTTATTCTAAAGCCAATCCTAGTTGCTGTCACATTTGTGCTTTATGCAAAAGGGAAATACAAGGATGGAAATTTTAGCCCTGATCAATCCTATCTCTATCTTACCATCATCTATACAATATCGTACTCTCTTGCATTGTACGCGCTGGTCCTCTTTTATGTGGCATGCAAAGATCTGCTTCAGCCATTCAATCCAGTCCCTAAGTTTGTGCTTATAAAGTCTGTTGTTTTTCTAACCTATTGGCAGGTAATGTTTCTTATTCTCTTGCTATCACTAAATCTGGTTTTGCCATTAACTTTCTACCTTTTGCTATTCTTCACAAGTTTTAAACTATTTATTCTGTCTGGTGAATCTTCTTGTGTTACAGGGTGTTCTAGTTTTCCTTTTTGCTAAATCTGGATTTATAAGGGATGAAGAAGAAGCTGCTCTCTTCCAAAATTTCATAATATGTGTGGAGATGCTTATTGCTGCAGCTGCTCATTTCTATGCATTTCCTTACAAGGAATATGCAGAGGCCAATGTTGCAGGAGCTCGCAGTTTCTCAGGAAGTCTGGCACATGCTGTTAAACTAAATGATTTCTACCATGACACGGTTCACCAGGTAACTAAATCGTTGTAAAACATATCTTTGAATGATTAAGTTAGTCCCTTTGGTGCGATTATGAATGATGATTGGTATGCGGTTTCTTACAGTTTGCTCCTACGTATCACGATTATGTCCTCTACAATCATAATGATGGTGGTGAGGAAGGGACAAGGAAGTACCGAGCACGAACATTTGTGCCAACAGGTCAGGAAATGGATGCTGTCAGAAAGAACAAACACATGTTTGGAAACAAGATAGATGGTGTTTCGGTCTCTAGTCACTCCTCAGGAACAAGCACTCCGAAAAACTCCGGTGGAATTTCTGATCCCGCACGCCCTGAGACCATGAAATCTTCTTTGCTCGTGGATGCCTCAAACTCAAGTTCCACAATGTATGACATGTCGCTCATTGACATTGATATATCAAGCTACCCGAGCAAGGTACCTTCGGCAAATACAAGTGCAGGACCTAGATAGTGAGGAAAAAAAATGATGTAGAATCCACCATTAACAGTAACAAAAGTGTTAGATTCAGAGGTCTCGAGTGTATTGTATAAGCAGGAAGGTTTTAGTTGGAGATGGAGATAAAAGTCTTTTTTAACTTTTGTATTGTTGTTCTCATGAGTCTTCCACTGGTATTTAGTTATTTACTTGTTACACGATCTTTGGTTTTGTAGATATACAAAACGATTATGGAATATTTGGTTACGGTCTCTAAAAAGTAAAGTTTGTGATCATTTTTTTGTGTGTGGAATTAGAAAGAAATTAGATAAAGTTTGGAGCAATTTGTATTTAATCTGTATGGGAGTTTGGAGCTGTTAGGCCATCTCTTTCCATGTTCCTTTCAGACCACGAATATCAACTTTTTTTGTTTGTGTGTTATTTATGCTAACCTTTGTATTAATTTTAGTTTAAGACCCAAATTTTGTTTTTTAATCATCCACATCGACAACAGCATACGATAAACCACAATACATGGCATCGTTGGGGAAGAAAATGTCAATATCATTATGTCATTCCACGGTTATCTTAATCAGTCAAACAAAATTCTACAAAATCATACATAATTCAGAATATATTGCAAGACCAGAATTTTTAAATCAAAACAAATCTGTCATACGATTTTTTTTTTTAATAATTAGGAGAAGTTCGGGCCCAGGGTTTAATCTTTCCCATGATCCGAAACAAGTTTTTGATCATATTTTATAACATGGCGTAAATAATTTTTTCTACCGAGATTTGAACTAAGAGCGCAAAAGAACCAACTGCAACATCCCTATGTAAATACATGGTTTAATCAACATAAAATTTATATTAATTTTTTACTATTAGCACAAACGTGAACTTTGAACTTTTTTTGTTTGTGTTGAATTTTAACATTGTTGGGAAGTTAGATTAAATTAAAGTCTCACCTAGATTAGTGTATTTGATTTGACGAGCATGACTTTTAGTGGTAAAAACAAGAAAAGAGAAAGAGAGACGCCATTAAAAGCAAAAAGTCATCACTATTTAAAGCAACAACGTGAACCACTTGAAACGAGCTCAAGATAGTATCCAACAAAACCCTATTCGCCGGCGTTTTGCTACGGCGGTTTTGGCGGCGGCGAATCAGTCGAATCCCAATTCCTCTTTTGAAAGATTATTCCGATGAGCAGAAACGGCGGAGTTTGGCAGAGCAATAACGGTTACTACGGCTACGGCTATGGAGGAGGATATGTGGAGAAGAGACAATTGTTCCTTAAGAGCTACCAATTCTCGAAGAAACAGAGCTTCACTGAGAAAATCAAGAGATCTGTGAAGAGAGTGGTGAAGAAAGTTGTTTGTATGAGGCTGAAATCAGCTCGGAGACTAAAACGCGTCGTTTGGTCGCGTCTCAAAACGGCGTTTTACTGCCGCCGTAGACGCTTTTTTCGTTTACTTCACCCAAACAAATCCTCTTACTGCTTCTACTAATTATGTCTCTATGTTTTGTTTCTTCATTGTGTGGGCATACAGTTTGATTAAGAATTAAAGACGATCCTCTTCTTTTAATTATGTTGTTAATCACTAAGATTTTGTTAATGATATATGATTAGATATACTTTTTCTTGTGATAAAATTCCCGATTTTAATAAGAAATTATGGGGAAAAAAGAGTTATCAAGATTTTGGTTTTGGTATAATTAAGGAAGAGATTTTTTTTCTGGATACGAAAGATCATGCAAGAAACGTGAATTAAAGTTCATGTTCGTAATTTGTTTAATACTTATATTTATTGAATCATCATCATAGTCATTAGTCACATAACGTAATAACGTAAGCGAGTCAAGTTCCTCTTTTCTCGTGTCTATTTCCCCAACAAATCAAATCAGATGATACGTTATTCTTTTCCATTTTGTTTCTTAGTAATCACAAGCCTATATTGGGCTTTTTATAGGCCTAATATGGATCTTTATGTTTGTGGATCTTTATGGTTCGGTATTAGTAATGAATTTCGATTTGAAAAAAACAAAAACGGATTACACTACTACGGGTCATTTAGCTCTATAACTAAAAAATAAAATTATATTTCAGAATCTAGCTAAAACCCCTGGATCGAATGGCTAGAATGTTACCACATAGAGAGTTTTGACTAGCTTTTAAAATATATATTTTTTATGGTTATACAACCCAATTTTCCATACACTCTATTCGGTTGAAACATTTTGGAAATATTATAAACAATGTGGATAAATAAACTAGCAAGTAGCAACCAACTTATTCCTCGTCATTAGTCCCACCATTGTCGATTACGTGTTTACAAATATTGTGGACCTTTGTCTCTTTCTCATTATTATTCTCTCTCATTGATAATGTCACATTTTCTCAAGGCTGCCCAAATAATTATAGATTGTAGAAGAGCTAAGCTACTCTTCTCAACTACCTCTAATTTTGTAATTCCAATCATTGGACATGTCTCC